ATCTTAAGGGATTTATTGGGGCGAGGAGGATGGAGTAAGAACGGAGGGATAATACGGTGAAATTTGTGGTACCGATCTGTTTGAATCTAAACACCTTTTACGACTAGGGTAAATGTGTACAAGAGTGCGCATATGTATAAGAGTACGCACTGATGATTTCTGCTTATTAGTGCCATCTGGGTAAGATGAAGTTATACCATTCAGAATTTAATGTTAAACCTGAGATAAAGGTGCAAAAGTGACCTGAATATAGTTTATAGTTTGGTCGTACTGACGATTTTATGTTCACACGTTGTGTGGATGTAATTTTTACCGCTCATAGTTTTAGTTTTTTGTAAGGTACGTACCAGTTCTTTTATTTTACAGTAATAATTTTCATTAGTTGTAACTTTTAAGGTGTCGTTATACACTAACAGTTTTACACTTTCTGTCCATCAAAAGCTTTTAACTTTGAAAACATTAGGTTATGTACAAATGTACAAGAGTGCGCAGCGAGGTATTGTATAAGCGTGCGTATTGCTTGCAATATGTAGTCTAATAGTCTTGGAGATACATATCATACGGTAATGAATTATTTAACTCTACTACTTTGTACTGCTTCTCGAGTTGTGGGGTGGTGGTTATGGTGATTTTTTTTTATTTTTACTTCCTGAGCGTGTTGTAATCGAGTCCGTCGACCGACTTTCTATTTTTACGTTTTCTCGTCTTTTCAAGACCCCTAGAGTACGAAGAAATAGGTCTCCCGTTTTATGTGTAGTCTGTAGTCACTTATTCCCATTTATTTTCACCTTAGAAACAAATATTTTTTCATAAAATGTAATGCGTACTCATAAGCGTTCAAATGCGCACTCTTGTGCAATGAACTGTCTAACAGTGCGCATTTACACATCTTGACAAAAATTGAAATTACTCTTAAAATATAGTGGTGTTGAGGCGTACAATTAAATATATCTGATCTCTAAACATGTATATAACGAACCCATATCATAAAATTTGTCTATCCAAAAAAATTAAAAAGTTGTTGACAGTTTTACACTAAGTGCGTACTCTTGTACACATTTACCCTATGTACTCGAGCTAACCACGCGTGGTTAACTTGAAATATTTTTAACTTAAAAGTGCTTGCACCTCTGATTTTTTTGCGCAGTATAGTCTCGTTAAATTGTGTAAACATTTTAGATCCAAAAAGAAAAAAATCGTTAGGACCGTTTTTGAAATATTTCCAAAATATTGTTTTTTTATATCAAAGGTCCAATTTTGAGAATAAATATGTGAATTCGAATGTGATTTAAACGTGTAAATAAAACACAAATTTAAACATGAAACCTATTGTATTCGCAAAGGGCACGTAATAATTTTGTAGGATAATTCGAGTTATTTTTGGGTACTTTATATTTTGTCTACGTCGCATTAAAGTCAAGATAAAACTGATTTTGCCTCTATTAATCTTGTAGAAACTTGTGAAATTTAAGGGTGTTAAAATGCAAAAGTAAAAACTCAACTCAAAAATGCTGAATATGTTTGACTGTAGTTTAGGTGCGAGGGCAGTTCTGTCGAAGCAGCTTTCAATCATTTTTTTTATTATTATTAATTTAGTGTCATAAAATGATTTACGAGTAAACGGTCATTAAATCTACTTAAGTTGTAATTATGATCATTTTCGAGATTTCTGTATGGAGATAAATTATTCTAAAACAAATCAACTTCTAAAAGACGAGCGTAGCGAGCACTTTCAGAATGTTTCAGTTCCACAGATCAGAACAATCTTTGAACAACAACATTTTTCTTAATAATTTAACTTCTCGGACACAGAAAGAAACATTTTTTTAAGTTACACCTAAACGTGCTCGCTACGCTCGCATTCTAGACGTTCTTTTTTTTACATTTTAGTATCATAGAACTTATTAAGAAAGGATCTGATCGAAATTGGTTAGGTGTACTTGAAATAATAAATCTAGAGACTCATTATTTTGAAAAAAGAAAAACCTTTAGAATGCAAACGCAGCGAGCACGTTCAGGTTGCTGGGTTTTCCGGACTTACATAATTTTGAATAATACCTAAATGTGCTCGCTGCACTCGTTTTCTGAATCTTCTTTTATTGGATCAAACTTTTTTTCTATTTTTTTCATGGTCTGTTTGAAACATTTTTGTGTGTGCACCAATGACACTAAACTGTAACAAAGTTTGACATATTTTTGACACACAACAAAACGATTCAAAGCCCAGCCAACTCAACTAAACAGATCTGATTCTGTAGAATTCATTAAAACATGTTTTTTTAAAAAACGGCTCTAGCGATTTTTTTCATTTTTTGTTTAAAAGGTTCACAAAACTTAAAGAAACTATGCTACAAAAAAAAATTAGAAGTGCAAGCACTTTTCAGTTAAAAGTATTTCAAGCTAACCGTGGCACGCCCCTGGGTTCGAAAGAATCGCTAAGTAGTGGCGGAGCAATTTGGTTTATTGTTCGTCATGGGGTTCAAACAAACTGAAACTTATGAAAACCAAGTGTCTTTCCAAGATTGTAAAACGATAGGGTTTTCTCCCCTGATCGCACGTGTGCACAAGATGCAAACCCATCGTAAACGGTGTTTGTTATGTTTGATTTTGTCCCAAAACCGTACCATTGGAAGCATACGACATGTTCCCTTCGTTCTTACGCTAAGCTGTTCGATTAGGGGCTTCCAATAAACATAAAGTTCAGTTTTTCACGGACTATACTACATGCTTGTTTAACAGCATGAACAATGAAACTACAAAAATATGAATACGATAGTTCTCTCCGTCTCTCCCCGATATTCTTTTTTAAACTCTGAAAATTCAACATCATTATTTATTTACTGAATTTCCATTTTAACTTTGCCGTACAGCTGTAAGCTGTGTTATTAATTCTGCATTGTTCTCTTAAAAACTTGAAAAACAGAAAGTCTTATCTGGCGTTTCTATTTTGAATTCCATATGAAGCAATTTTCCTAACGGTAGACTGTAGAATTTTCATCATCCGACATGCTTTTGCGATGTTTCCACATTTTATTTCTCCATTTTTAATAAATAAATAACAAATATCGGGTGACTACTAATGAATCAGCAGATTTTTGAGTTAGCAATTCTGACTTACTGGCCGCAATGTTAGCGTGTCAGTCCATAGTTTTCAATTCTGACATATAGGTAAGCGTATTCCATCATACAATTTTAAATATATTGCCAACCTGTCAAGAAATCACAAACATTAATAGTCACTCCGTATTTAAATTGGTTGTTTCAATTAATTAGATTTTTGTCAAGTTCTTCTGTATTTTGGATTTTCTGGTTCAAAAAGTTGCACTTGCCTGCAGATTTATACGTTTTTTCCTTGTTCATGGAAATGTTGTCCTTTTTTTTTATGTAACATCTTTCACAATAAACGTTTTCCTTGATTAAATTGGCCCCGATTTAATGGTACCAACCATCAAGTGAAAAAAATTGTAACATTTGTCCACACTTAAAGGTTGGCAAAAATGAATTTTTTAAATCAAACACTACGATATCCAACAATCAAATGTGGTTAATTTAGAAGATCCATTGTTTCCAACTTAAATTTGAGTGCGGACAAATATTACCATTTTTTCACTTGATTGGTGCCATTGAATCGGTTATTATCTTAGTCGTGCGAAAGGTCTATTCTTTCGGCTTTTTCGTTATTCTTGTATGTTACTAGGGTTTTAAAACTCTGAAAATTTCTGTGTTTATTACCGCACTTTAATTTGGTAAATGACAGTTCCATGTGTAAAAATTAAAATACCATGGCTATCTACGATACGTAAATGTCAGTTTTACAGTTGTCGAGGCCAAAAATAAATTTGAAATTAATTGTTGATATGATTGTCAAATATCAATGCCTTTAAATAACTTAATAAGTCGATAACATTTTTAGTATTTATTAAAAAACATTCTTGTGTTTACCTATTTGTTTAATAAATATACTGATGTACGAACAAAGTTAAATAAACTAAGCCAAAACGCATGATCGTTATGAGCCGAAATAGGAAGAGCAAACCATCTTTTCAACTAGCAGGTAAATCTAGAGAAGGTATTTAGTACAGAAAAGATGGAGGGTTAAGAATTTCCCCCAACATCATAGAAGCCGACCAGAACCCTCAAACAAATGTTTTAACGGAATATGCTGCTTCATACAATGAGAAAAATTTATGGCTGTAAATATCCATTTTCAATCAGCTAAAAAAAAGTAATTTCAAACGACCGAATATTTTATAACTCTTATTAATGTTTTTCGCGCTACACTTTAAGAATCAATGTGTTCATATTTCTTTTGGTCTAGGTGTATTAAAAAAATAAATAATAAGAGTATTGAACTATTGATGCAAAACCAGAATTATTTTTATTTAAAAATCAAAACCATCCGAAAATGTTACCAGAAAAGAATATATTAAGGAAAAACACAAAAGGAAAATAAAACGCTAGAATCATTTTATTTAAAAGTTAAGTGTTTCTCGTTTTCTTTTTGAAATCAGCGTAAAATTTTGAATTAAGAAAGCTCTCCTGTTATGGCAGTTTTCAAAAACTTTTTTAGAAGTGCTCTATTTTTGATGTTGAAAACATGTGAATGATTTGTGTAAATTCTTTAGAAATTTTAAATGCAAAATTCATATGATTTTGTTTCGGATAAATCATACAAAAAAATAATAAAAAAAAATATATATAGAAATCCAGTAGGTACATTAAACGCAACCATAAAACGTTAAATTTAGTTCACTGATATGTCGTATTATATCTTGAAATAGTATGTTATGTATTTATAGGTAACAAGTTTTATGAACGCCTCTTTAGACACGTGTTCAATTACTCAAGACTAAAGCGATTGTTTAAAAAATAAGTGTCTATAGAAGTTTATAAACCTATTACCTAGGTACCAAGGAAAAACCATTATTATCCAAGCTTCGAAAGTAAGCGAACAAAACGTCTTCTGAGAATAAATAGTTTACCTTACTTACAGGTGCACCTTATGCTGCCTGTTTGATTTCAGGTAGACTGTCTTTGAAAATGTCTTCATTTTCAGTCATTTTTGCATCCACCTGCGTTGACACGTACAAAATAATGCATTTACTTTGAGTGATGCCCGATACCTATTTGAATAAGAATAAATGTGTATCAACCTACAATTCAAAACTAGCTCGATTTCAGACTGTTTTTAACCAAACCGTGGTTAATGAACACAACAGCTACCGAACGCATTCCAGTCGTGACTGATAAACCCGAACGGATCTTCGGCCCGTGTTTAATGAGTCCAAAGCCGAGGCTTAAAACATCATTTAACGATGTGCATTTATGTTCGTTGAACAAGGTTTTATAGACGACGGTAGAGCAAATTATTTTAGGTGTAAAGTTCTGCGAGGATAAAGAAAAATTATTTTTATTGAATTGTTTTCAGCATTTTGTAATTTACCTAATCCTTCATTTGTATTTCTTATATTGTGAGATATTTCTTTTAAAATTTTTTGCTGGGTACGCTGAATCATAGAACTTGTGTTCATTTCAGGCAAACAATGGGGGCTGTAAATTATCAATATCATAACTTCCAATAAAACAAGAAGTGAATGTTCATTATTTAGATGAGGGTTATTATTGCACACACTTAAAGTTTGAACCGTACGTGTTACTGATATTTTACTTTATAATACATCGTGCACATAACGTCGGCTAAAGTAAATAAATAAATAAATAAATAAATAAATAAATAACTTTATTAGTACGTAGTTACAAAATATGTTTCGTACAAGTCATATCATTACCTATAGCTATGAACAACTCAGTCTGTTTATATCTTTATCTGTAAGAAAATCTTCTATGTTAAAATATGCTTTTTTACCTAAATATTCTTTGATTTTTGTTTTAAAGTTTGGCATATTAAGTTCTTTAATAGACATCGGCAATTTATTAAATAGTTTCACACAAAAATAATTTACACTATTTTGATTTTTTTTTAATCTAACCTTACTTAAACATAGCGCACTATTGTTTCTAGTGTCATGACTATGTATTTCGTTGTGTCGTTTATAGTCTGCAGTGTGAGATTTAACATAAATAAGGCAATTGAGAATATAAATACTAGGTAGAGTAAGAATATTTAGTTCGATAAAGTGCTTTTTGCAGTGTTCCCTAAATTTAGCTCCTGCCAAAATGCGTATTGCTCTTCGTTGTAGTTTGAACAACCGCTCGAGAATGCACGAATGACCCCATACAAGAATTCCGTATGTTAAATGAGACTGGCATAGTGCAAAATAGGCCATTCTCATCATACGATCTGAAACCTGTCCCTTCAAATTTCTTAACAAAAAAATACTTTTACAGACTTTCTTGGCGGTTTCTTCACCATGAGCATGCCACTGAAGTTTATTGTCTACATGAATTCCCAAGAATTTTACTGAATGAGCAAAATGGATGGGGTTCTCGAACCTTTTTAATGTAAAAATCATATGTTCCGACTTATCTTGATTAATTTGAAGCCTATTGCTTTTGAACCACTCAAAAGCTTCCGACTGCGCATCCTCGCCCATTGCTATGGCTTCGATAACTGATGTCGCCTTGTTTAACAAAGTCGTGTCGTCAGCATAAAGTACTGCCCTTGTAGAGAGAGAAGAGGGGAGATCATTTATGAATATTAAGAATAAGAGCGGGCCTAGAATCGATCCCTGAGGTACCCCTTTATGAATAATTAAACTTCTTGACAATTTTTCATTTTGTTTAACCACCTGAGATCTATTGTTTAGATAAGAAGAAACCATATTGATACTAGACGGTTTTAAATTATAAATGGCTAATTTTTTCAATAAAATATTATGGGAAACGCAGTCGAACGCCTTCGAAAGGTCCAAAAAAGCTGAAACGCCCACTTGTTTCTCTTCTAAACATGTGGACATAAAATGAACAAGTTCTTGCACAGCATCAATTGTGGAAGACTGTTTCCTACACCCGTACTGGCTCCTTGAGAAAAGGTTATTTGTTTCAAAAAAGCTGTTTAGTTGATTGAACAGTATTTTTTCAAGTACTTTGCCAAATATTGGCAATAACGCTATAGGCCGATAGTTTGACGGGTTATTCGGATCTCCTCGCTTATATATTGGTACAACTACAGCTTTTTTTAAACAGTCCGGAAACGTGGAACCCGCTATGCAAAGATTTATCAGCTTAGTAAGTGGCGATATGATGATATTCTTAATGGACTTTATAATTTTTACATTGATGTTGTATACATCATTAGAGTTCTTACTTTTTATATTCTCAATTGCCTCTCTAACTATTACACAAGATACTGGTTTAAACTCAAAACTGACATGTAAGGCACGACACACATTTAAAAAAGACTTATTAGATAGTGGTAAATCAGGTACATCAATATCACAGACGGAGTTTACATTTTGATCACAGTTAAAATCACAGCTAGTGCCTTTGTCTTCATTATCGTTACATGTGATATTTGATGCAGCATTTACAAAAAAATTATTAAATACATCACATGGGATACTGCACTTATTTGATTCACTATTTGGGACTGCGTATTTACTACGGTGTTGATTAACTATTGCCCACATTGCCTTGATTTTGTTACTTGCTGTAGCAATCGTTTTTTCATTGTATATAAATTTCTTATATTTAATTTTTTCACGATACAGTAATTTAAATTTGTTTTTGGCTTCTTTTGTTTTATCAGTTGGGCATATTTTGTCGATTTCTGTTAAAGCACGCAGTGTACTGCGCATGTCAATTAACTCCTTGTCAAACCATTTAATTGTGTTCATATTGCTAGAGCTGGATACCTTAATTGATTTTGTTGGTAATGCCAAATTTACATTATGTATTACTATGTCTATAAACTTAAGGAATTTGGTATTCAGTTCTAGGTCTTCTGAAAGAATAAAACTCCAGTCAGCTACAGATAGAAAATGAAAAAGATTGTTTTGACCAGACACTGTTATCGGTCGTACTATTTTATATATAGGATTGTTTGTCACATCTGCCGCTAACTGGAGCTCTAGTGCAATTGCCAAATGATCAGATATGCCTGTGTCTACGGGTCTAGTTTTACAATATACTGGATCTAAATTACTGAATATATTGTCTAGACAATTTTGTTTTCTTGTGGGAAAGTTAACCATATGATACAATCCATAGCTGTGCATAAAATCTAATAATTTGTCTTTCTCTGGATTTTTACAATTAAATTTTACTTAAGTAAAGTAGAGTCCGTCAAATAGTGAACGACGCGTAGAACCCATGCACTGTGATGATGTAAATTTTGTCGACAAGAAAGGTTAATCAAAACACAAAGAAAGAACTGCAAAATTCTAATTAATTTAGATCTGCATTGTGGTAATTCTGTAAAAATTTTGTTCGTTAGTAGGTATTTTATAAAAATTAAAAACTATTATACCACCTAACATGATATTTTTGTAACTATTCTGTTATATCCTGACCATTCTTTTAGTCATCGGATAATAAATGGTGTTATTGTTAATTGGTTAAGATTTGCTAAGTATTGTATCTTCACGGCAATAAGAAAAGTTGACCAAAGTTATAAATCATAATAACTCTTTAAAGGGATGGGGTGGATTATTGTCATCGCATGTGTCGTATGTTTGGCCAAAGTTACTTATTGTCGCAAATTACTTAAATCCCACAGTTTTTTATAACGTGAAGATATCATGAAATTAAAATCACAAAAATAATAACTTTGTGAGACACGCATAACTCTTCACGGAAATGAAAAAATGCAGACAGAATAAATATATATTAAATTTTTAATAAGTAGGTACTTACAATATTTCAACAGGTCATTTTGATTCAATATTTCACTGTTAGAATTAGGATATTTATAGTTCTGCAAGTTGTTAATGAGGTGGATAATCGGTGTTTGAGCAAACCACCAACTGTAGTTTTAGTGTCAAACTTATTTGAAAAGTCAACAAATACACCGAAGCGCCTTTTGTTAAGATTTATTTAAGACCCTCTCAAAGCCTTAAACTAAGCCTCTTTTCTCGAAACCATCCAAAGCAAAACGATCTGAGTATCCTAACTATTTGTTCTTCAGGTGCTTCTAAGAGGACAACCTGGGAGCGACGTCCGGACCCGTCCCGACTCCGGGCGGGTTTTCTCCAGTGATCTCAGCGGCAAAGACGCTTTCGCTGAGGGAATCGTCGTGTGCTGAGGCTTTGTGGAAGATGCCCCATAAAGGTGGGTCGATTTTTGCAATTACCCCAGCGCGTGTGTGCGCACCCCTCTTATAATCGCGCCCTCGCTGCGGTCTTTAATCAAGCTGCAATTAACTCGAGTTTTTTTCTCGTTCACCCCGCTTGTAATGATCGAGTTAATATACAGACCGCGTCATCGACTTGCAAATCTCGTGCGGTTTTCGAGTGGACTTTGAATCGATAGCATTTGGTGATCGGATTCGACCCTCGCCTAATCTTTAGGGCTGAATCTTTTATGCACAAATTAAGCAATTAACCCAAACGAACTATTTGAGGATTTGATCTTAGAGTGGGTCTTTCCATTTTCGCGAAACTTTTGTATAACAACAGCAGGTAGGAAACGCAGGGCTAAACATTGGTTTGTACAAGAGAAAAAAGAAAAAAGCCTATCAAATTTAATTTAAAAAAAATTAAGAGAGGTTTTTTATATTCGTACACTGAATTTATTCTTCTCACATTCCATCTCAATTCTGACGTAAGACTGATTTTTGCTCTTGATTTATATTTGTTTGACAACCACGAAATTGTGTAAACGTACACCACACTTATAATTTGATGATTTCATAGTACACTCTTCAAAATTTTCATAATATATTGGTAAAGATTTTTTGACAGACTTCATGATTGCTGAACTAATATTAAATAATATTAAAGGAAAGTGGAGCAGTAGAGCTTTAATGTAAAATTAAACAGAGCATTTAAGGACATTAGTAATAATAGTAATACTCTTTATTTCTGTTTTACAGAAAGAAATGTCTGGAATACGTCACCAGGAAGAAATAATAACAAATTAAAACAAAATGTAACGAAATATATGGCACAACTAACTAATCATGGTGTTCTTGAACAGAATACAGACTTTTCTCGATGATGTACTGTTTTAATTTAAATTTAAATAATATGAGATTTGAAACGGATTTCAGAATTTCAGGTAATTTGTTATATATTTGTAATCATAGTGAACCAATCGACAATAAAATAGAATTCCAATTTAGTCTTTAGGGTAAATGTGTACAAGAGTACGCACTTAGTGTAAAACTGTCAATAACTTTTTAATTTTTTTTAATAGACAAATTTTATGATATGGGTTCGTCATATACATGTTTAGAGATCAGATATATTTAATTGTACGTCCCAAGACCACTATATTTTAAGAGTAATTTCAATTTTTGTCAAGATGTGTAAATGCGCACTCTTAGACAGTCCACTGCACAAGAGTGCGCATTTGAACGCTTATGAGTGCGCATTACATTTTATGAAAAAAATCTTTATTTCTAAGGTGAAAATAAATAGGGACAAGTGACTACAGACTACACATACAACGAGATCCATATTTCTTCGTACTTTAGGGGTCTTGAAATTCGAGAAAACGTAAAAGTAGAGAGTCGGTCGACGGACTCGATTACAATACTTCATTCGCTTACGCTCAGGAAGTAAAAATTAAAAAACAAACATTACCATAACCACCACCACACAACTTGAGAAGCAGTACAAAGTAGTAGAGTTTAAATAATTCATTATAGTATCATATGTATCTACCTTATAAGACTACGTATCGCAAGTATTGCGCACTCTTGTGCATTTGTACATAACCTAATGTTTTCAAAGTTAAAAGCTTTTGATGTATAGAAAGTATAAAACTGCTAGTGTATAACGACACCTTAAAAGTTACAGCTAATGAACATTATTACTGTAAAATAAAAAAACTGCTACGTACCTTACAAAAAACTAAAACTATGAGCGGTAAAAATTACATCCACACAACGCGTAAACATAAAATCGTCAGTACGATCAAACTATAAACTATATACAGGTCACTGTTGCACCTTTATCTCAGGTTTAGCATTGGATTGTGAATGGTATAACTTCATCTTACCCAGATGGCACTAATAAGCAGAAATCATCAGTGCGTACTCTTATACATATGCGCACTCTTGTACACATTTACCCTACATTACGAATTTCGTTGTTTACACGAGATCATTATTTATTTTTTAAAATGTATACACACGTCTCGTATACACATATCTATAGATTTTTAAAAATATGTTTATACGACTCTCGTTGAAAATATTCACACACGAATTATTCTTTTCTGTGCAATAAATAGATCCTGTCCAAACGAAGAGGAACCCAAAAGCAAATTCCGTAGAGCAGTTGTGGCTCAACTTGTCCATAATAAATCATCAACGAATGTTCTGGAGTGATTAAGTGTGTAATATTTTGGAGTAAAACCAAGTTTTCTATAAATTAGAAACAAATTTTTCCTGATACAAACTCCAATTCAGTCGATCGTCCAAAACTAAATTTATATGTAGTTTTTTCCTTATTTAAATAGAGAGCATTTTGACTAAATCAATTGGAGTTCGAGTAACATGAGCATGCTTGTTAAATATTGGGACATAAATCCCTCATATACAATATAAATAATTCGGCGACTTAAATGATCACTGAGTAAATTTGTAATTCCTAAAAACTTGAGTCCATGTTTGAAGCTGACATATTTTGTTCTTTGAGGCAGAAAACATATGAATACAATAAATCCAAAACATAATAAAGTTTATACTCAAAACCCGGAACAGTTGGACTAATCACGTGCCATTCATGTGCCTAGAAAATGAGCGACCAAGTTTACACGATAACATGAAAAGTGCAAAGAAACCCGGCATACTTTTCAAATATTCAAAATGTTTCTTATAAGGAGAGGGCATGGAAAATAAATTCTTCTCTCTTACACGAAAATTGAGACAAACTAAAAACAAGCATGACCACACGAAGGTACATACAAGTAGGGTAAATGTGTACAAGAGTGCGAATATGTATAAGAGTACGCACTGATGATTTCTGCTTATTAGTGCCATCTGGGTAAGATGAAGTTATACCATTCAGAATTTAATGCTAAACCTGAGATAAAGGTGCAAAAGTGACCTGAATATAGTTTATAGTTTGGTCGTACTGACGATTTTATGTTCACACGTTGTGTGGATGTAATTTTTACCGCTCATAGTTTTAGTTTTTTGTAAGGTACGTACCAGTTCTTTTATTTTACAGTAATAATTTTCATTAGTTGTAACTTTTAAGGTGTCGTTATACACTAACAGTTTTACACTTTCTGTCAATCAAAAGCTTTTAACTTTGAAAACATTAGGTTATGTACAAATGTACATGAGTGCGCAGCGAGGTATTGTATAAGAGTGTGCATTGCTTGCAATACGTAGTCTAATAGTCTTGGAGATACATATCATACGATAATGAATTATTTAACTCTACTACTTTGTACTGCCTCTCAAGTTGTGTGGTGGTGGTTATGGTGATTTTTTTTTTATTTTTACTTCCTGAGCGTGTTGTAATCGAGTCCGTCGACCGACTCTCTATTTTTACGTTTTCTCGTCTTTTCAAGACCCCTAGAGTACGAAGAAATAGGTCTCCCGTTTTATGTGTAGTCTGTAGTCACTTATTCCCATTTATTTTCACCTTAGAAACAAATATTTTTTCATAAAATGTAATGCGTACTCATAAGCGTTCAAATGCGCACTCTTGTGCAATGAACTGTCTAAGAGTGCGCATTTACACATCTTGACAAAAATTGAAATTACTCTTAAAATATAGTGGTGTTGGGACGTACAATTAAATATATCTGATCTCTAAACATGTATATAACGAACCTATATTATAAAATTTGTCTATCCAAAAAAATTAAAAAGTTGTTGACAGTTTTCCACTAAGTGCGTACTCTTGTACACATTTACCCTAAGAGTGAAAACTCTAGTTGATCGAAGCAGAAAGGACAGGTACAATTTATTAAGCTGTGTGAAAACGGTTGTGCCCAACATCTCTAGACCAATAACACTAGGATTTTAAATGGTCACGTGAAGATCAAAGTAATCATTATTAACCTATCACAACACAAATTGTATGTTCTAAGAGATGTCCTACGTTATTTGGAAACGCAATATATGGCGAAAACTAGATCACAAATTTAAAAAATCGCCCGGTATCACGTATTAGAAATCCTAGCATAAGTAACAATTCATGGATAAATAATCACCATAGGTTTTCCCAAATTTTGTTAGTCACAACAAACTTGAAGACAGAAAACACCAACACAGTAGAAAGTCAAATTGCCTCCCAGTCGGCAACCCCTAATAAATTCTTCAGTCTATTCGAACACTAGAAATGTCAAATTATGGGTACTGAGCTAATGTCCTAAACCCTCACTGACAGAAGAGACGAGAGTCCTTTAATGCCACCTGCTAAATCTTAACTGTTTAACTTGACGAAAAATTCTCCGTAGACCTTTGTTCTAGAAACAACAGATCAGCCGACAGACGAAGTGAAAGTTTTGCATTTTTGCTGCAGAAACATATTTTCTCTTGATATGTCCGGCATTTGAAATAGTTAATTTGAGGTTAAATGAAAACATAGTACAGCCGGAATTTTTGTCGAAACAACTCATTTCAACCAAGAATCGTTCAATTTAGTCCGATTAAGTACAAGGCAGGAATTAAATTACAATTTTCAAATGTTTGCTTCTATTTTGGGAGTTTACATATTCATGTTAAATGTATTTTTGTGTGGGTTTCGCAGTTTACATTGTCGTTTAGATATTATTCGCTATCAAAGTTTACTGTTGTTTTATTTTCTGTTGACGTTGATTCATTGTTCAATATCTGTGTTAACTGAGTTATTGTGGCTGAATTATTGTCTTCAATAATTCTAAGCTGATTACCTACTTACACACTACGGCAAAGGAGCTTTGTGTACAGCATAAAACTGTTGAAACGTGTTAAAACTGACTTTTAAGAAATCCTCTAAAAGAGTTTTCACTTCCATGGTATTTTCCTTATACCGAATTTTTAATTTTAGCCAAAAGACGTCAGTCAGTTTCTGTGTAATATTAGCGTCTCATTTTATAAAATGTAAATTTCTAGACGATCTTAGAGTATTTTCTATGTTGCTTCTTATGCCACAAATGAATAATACATGTAAAACACGTTGAATAAAAAGTTTAATTCTACGTCGGGAATATCACTTTAATATGTCATAAATCTGTCGACATTTCGTTAGTTGATTCCTTAATTCCTTGTGAATACAATAATGTTTAATATTAAAAGTTATTAAATAAAATATTAAACTCTAAGAGGAATTTTTTTATTTTATAATTATTATACGAGATAAAACGATATCCTAATCTAAACTTTCGAGCTCATACCTAACACATTATTTTGTTTAGATATTTACTTGAATAATTGTTAATTGTAAATTTAAGCTCACGTTTTACATTATATTAGATTCCTATAAGAAATAAAGTGACCATGACGTCATAAGTTAGACAGCTTCGATTAGAAAATATCAAATAAATGTTTAGTCAGCTCCAGTGTTTTTCTGTTTTCCAACCGTTTTGCCAGTTTTTCTTGCTGAATTTTTTATCGTGTTTGTTATCCGTATTTTGTTAACATTCTTTTAGGTATAAATTATTCTTTTGTGAAAAAAAATAATTTTGAAGCTTAGGGCTGGTTTATAGAAATCGAATTAAATACTCCTATTTAATCCTCGATTTATTGAAAAGAGAAATAAAATATGAGCTCGTGATTGATTAAAACATGCACGTTGCCTAGCAACGGATCTCAATTAAAAGTTAAACGCGAACTTGCCATGAAAGCATGGTGTTACAATTGCTATAAAATTATCCTAATATTGAAATTGATCTTTCTTTGAAATAAATATTTCATGCTCCATATTATTTTACACATCTGACTTTGTTCACATGTTGATTAAAACATATACCTGTACTTAGTACCTACGTGAAATTTAAAACAGCAACTATCTTATGATAACTTTTCTTTTGATAATACGTGTACAAAATAACAAACTAAAACAGTGACTTGCTTGTAAAGTTTGTGAAACAGATAGGTATCTGTTATATATCTTGAGATGGCACCTTGAAATTTTACTGACTCGTAAAACACTGAAAGCAGTTTCAAATCTTAATTAAGTTCTAGAAGATAACATTGTTACTAATTTACATTTTTTTGGGGCAAAACTTAATTAATCACATACATAGAAAGTCGTAAAACATTAACCCTAACTATCCAGTGTGCCCGTCGGCGTTGACTTTACAATAAAATTCAGTCTCTTAGAACTTTAAAATAATGCCTTACTTTATGTACATATAAGTATAAGTACAGGTATCGTTTTTTCATTATATTAGTTGTTATTATGTCATAATAATAAAAGAAATATTGTCAAGTAGGTAGCTACCTAGACAACAATAGATTTTAATCTTCTGTAAAAAGATGTGTTTCGTGATAAAACCATTAACACTGGCCGAGTCTTTTACAAATTCACACAAATAATATTGTTCGTGAGAACTCACCAATAACCTTTATTATGTATTTTGTGCTGCATACTTCCGCGCAACGCCATTCGATAAACTGAAATTTCACTAGAACTTTCTATTTGCAAAATAGCACATTTATCCTCCGAAGCCTTCAGTTCCTTAAAGGTTTTCATTTTTTATTTATCGGAAATGCGTAGATCCGCTCCAAACGGCGAAAACAGTTTCCGCAAGACCGGTTAAAATTAGAATAATTCGATCATAAGTTTCTCATGAAGAATATATTTTGTTGATCGTTTTCCCTTTCTGCAAATCGTGGCAGTTTTCGCCTTTTTGCTTTTGAATTATGCAAGGGTCGTGAATTAGTTTTCAGTCATTTCCATTCCTCCATTAATTTATGTCTGGTCGACTTTGCCAGGCTGTCACCATCTTGCCGACTAAAGAGTTTTCCCCACTCTGGAGTTTCACGTCTCGGTACATCCTCAATTCGCCATGTAATGTTAAGGCTAATGCAATTTGAACGCGAGTGTCGCGAACTTCGGGTTACCGAGTCAACAAAGAGACGCCATTTTCACGAGTCCGGGAAGAAGGGGGCGGGCGCCGGAATCCTCCGGGACGGAGCTAAGTGCATGTTGCGAAGGCCGGGTTTTCACCAGCGGCGTAACAATTTGTGGGTGTCGATAAATAAGTTTATTGAGGAAAAACGGAATGATGGTGGATAAAATAATCTACTCCTAAAAACAGAATAATCCGGAAAGGGGAAACACAATTTTGGAAGTCGTTGAATATAAAAAAAAAACCGGGACACTAAAAGTTAAAATTTTAGCGAACTGACAAGAAACCACCATAATTGGGAATTAAACAAATTGTACAAGTTTTTTATTCGTTTTGTTTGTGTCATATGTGTTGTACGAAAAAATTTAATACTATTTGGTCATTTAAACTAATTATATAAGAAATAAATTAGTCGTTTGTAGCAGCGTTACTTGAAGTCTAAACGTTACTGAGAGTGGAAATGTGATTAATTTAACATTTCCAGTTTTGCTGAAAACTAACACCTTGAGTTTTCAAATTAATTAATTCCTTTTAAAAAATTGAAGTGTGCTTGATAGTACGTTCTAAATGACAAACCACTATCCAAATTTTACCAAGGGATTGGTTTATTAACATTCTTTTTCTTGATGTAAACGGTTTTGCTTAAAAAAGAATATAAATTGTAGCAACATTTCACATTTCAAATAAGAAAAAATGGACTTTTTTGAAATTCTGGTAAAACATTAACACAGAGCATCAACACTTTTTTTGTGATCTCCCCACAAGATTGATGACGTCATTAAAAACATTATTTCGTATTTTTTGTATTTGCGTAATATGCCATTAATTTTTAGAACTCATTGTAAAGGTTAACAAAGATTATATTTGCCATTTTACAATCAATACCATGGCTTAAAATTCGCATTTATAAAATATGTGCAATTCTGTTGCCATTTAAATGGTTATATCTAGATGTTTCTATCTAAGCACAATTTTTTCGGTCACTGTTTAAAAACAATTTTCAATTTAAATTTATTTTACTTTGTGATCTGTTTTTCTTGTTATTTGTGGAAGAATTAATGCTTAAAAATGTAGTCTCAATTGAAAACAGTTAAACCGGAACCGAAAATCTTACGTTGTTCTTAAATAGACTTTACGCTTATTTTTTTTTTCCATTGGGTAATATTTTCTATTTGATATTCTTCCACAGAGCACCTTAGCTTACCTTATCACCTCACAGAAGCAAGCAGTGCAAACAGGATGAAGGACGTATGTTGCAGAGGCAAGTGTATTCTTTTATGACTCAAGGTGTGATTCTAGTGTGCTCATAATAGCTCTTTATTCCACGTTTAAGTACTTTTTGTACTCAAGTTATTAATTGTTCTCTAAGCACTGCATAAATTTGTGTAGGTACTAAAGTTAAGGCCAGTCCCCACGTTTTCTCAGCGGAATTTTCGCTCTATTTTCAAAATGTAATATCTCCGTTATTAACAGATCTATAGTTTTCAAATTTTAAATATATGTTGTCCATAACTTTCTTTATATAACGCAAGGGCAATTTTGTTAAAAACAGCTTGTGATCATATTATTTTTTTAATTTTAGTGAAATTTTTGCATAACGTATTTTTAAAAATCAATATCTCAATTATTAAATAAAATTTCAGAACACGGTTTTCAACACTGTTTTCAGCTTACAAAACTCCAGAAATCATACGAGACATATCGTCGATTTTATTTTTTAGAAACGATACACAGTTAAAAAAAGCGTATATCATGGAAATTGCTAACTTTTATTTTCACTATATCTCAGTCCCAACAAATAAAGTCAAAAATCGACCTCATAGAATTTCTCAAGTTTTGCAAGCTGAAAACAGTGGTGACAACCCCGTTCCAAAATTTCCATAAATAACTGAAATATTGATTTTTAAAAATACGTTATGCAAAAATTTCACTAAATTTAAAAAAATAATATGATCACAAGCTGTTTTTAACAAAATTGCCCTTGCGTTATATAAAGAAAGTTATGGACAACATATATTTAAAATTTGAAAACTATAGATCTGTTAATAACGGAGATATTACATTTTGAAAATAGAGCGAAAATTCCGCTGAGAAAACGTGGGGACTGGCCTTAAAATATGACATTTATCTTAACATTAAAGCAGACAAATCTTCTCAAATTTTCCATAAATTTTGCTAGTTTTATCAGTTATTCTTTGCTTACATAAAAAATTAGACATTAATGTGTTCATCACGTCTTACGGTTTGGACATACAAGAATGTCAGTCTTCCGTTTGTTTGTCTGTCGGCGATTTTATCAAAGACATAATCACCAAAACTACTGTATAGGCCATCCACGAAAATTGTGGTTTGACAAGTTTAACTTCTGTCAAGTCATAAATTTAGGACATCACGCCAAACGTAGGTGGCGGCTCTTTGTTTTATTTAGCCGTCATACTTTTAGTAAACAGAACCGGCTTATGTATTTGCAAACAAGAGGTTTGGAAATGTCAGAGTCATAAAACAACTATTTTCTTGGATGGCCTATACCTACCGATTGCTATGAAATTTTGGCTGAGCTTTAAGACCATCATATAGCTAGTTAACCAAAATTTGTTTGCTCATGTTCATTAACAAATCAAATGTTGATAAGTAAAGTCTTTTTAAATTTAAATGTGGAGAAATTAAGTCGACGCCAGGTTTTTATTAAAAAAAGTTGGTTGACAAGTTTCAGTAGTCACTTAGATTACAAAAAGATCGAAAAAGATAAACTCACTCTAGGGAAAACGAAAAACGTTAAAACATTTACATAATTATAAAGATTTGGAGCAGTGAGTTGCTGCTAACAGCAAACACCAACGAGTAATGAGAAAATGGAATGAACTAAACATGTGATCAAACTACTAATGTAAATTAACGCCCTCTATTGGGTACTTGTAGAAATGCGAATTGGAAAACTCTGTGGAATTATTATATTTAAGATTTACTTTATAAAATAATATGCTTATACAATCGTGGTTTGTTAATTTGCGTTATTTTTTTAACTTACATCAGGTTTTTGGAAAAAAAGTCAAAACTTCTTGTGCTTAGGAAATTGTTCTTTATTTGACACCAGAGTTTAGTCAATAATTTTAACTAAGAGACAACATAAAAAACTGCTGCAAAATTTCAGGAAGCAATAAAAATATTAAAAAATTGCCTAATTTAGCGAGGGAACCGTTTACATTTTTGTGTCATTTATGATATTTTATACTTTTATAAGTATGTGGGGAAATTGTGGTGGAAAAATACGTAGGTATCATACAACCTTCTTGTAAGAGTCTAAAAATTGTTCATTGTGCTAAATTTGGAGGAATCGGGTGGTTAATTTTTTCCTCAATAATTTTTTTTTTTTACTAATACTTGCATAATAAGTAATAAACTAATAACATAATGGCTATCACTGTGTCTGTGATTAACGGCAATAGCGGCTGCAGTTTCAAATGAATTTATAAAGGGATAGGAAACAATATTGTTATTAAAGAATAAAATAAAATAATCTTTCCATAACAGTGTTATTTACGGTTGTTGTGAAAATATTTGTTCCGCCACTGGTTTTCACCGCTCTATAAACGACTCTATATCAATCGGCATGTTTTCGGCAGCTCCGGGCAAAGTAGTTAATGGACAAGCAGATGAGCGCATAGATAAAAGGGGTTTAAGTGCGTTATAATCTGGCGTACATTAGTGAATAGAGCTGACTGGAGGTAATTCTGCACAGAGCATAAAGCGGGGGCGGATTGAGAAGTTGCTAAGTTCCTCGACTATTCAATTCACTTATGTGGCCCGGGGCCCGATGCCACATACTCGGGATTAACTCCAGATTTATCCCGAAAAAATCCGAAGCCGCCTCTTGATTACGGGATATTTATTAGTGGGGTTCCAAGGCGAAACAGTTATTTGTCGTGAATACCCAAGAATTTTCCTTGTAATTCAACATTAATCTGCACTCGGCGAATTCAAAGCGAGGAAGGGCATGCTCGAGCGAGCATAAAATAGGACATAGATTAAATCCTATCCTTCACTCGCATTGCGCTCACGCACTCCTTGCGTTATTATCACGAAAACATTCTAAAGATCGATTTTTCCAGAAGAGGACCTCATGCATCACGCTTCCATGGGCCAGAACACGATTTTCAGCTGCTCTACAGCCGGACACAGTGGCATCAATCAGTTGGGAGGCGTTTACGTGAACGGAAGACCTCTGCCCGATTCTACCAGGCAAAAGATCGTCGAATTAGCCCATTCGGGAGCCAGACCGTGCGACATCTCCAGAATTCTCCAGGTCTCGAATGGATGCGTGTCTAAGATTTTGGGGAGGTAATAAAGTTTAAGTTTAAATTATCCACGCAAACCCACACATAAAAAACATCGATAAATCTAGTACCTGCAATACATGTACAGTGTACACCATATGTTTTCAAAAATAACTCAAGACACAGCGAAATTAAAACTTTTTTCTAGTTTACTAAAAAAAAAAATCCTTTTTTATTGCACAACATCTACATTAATGTATAAAATAAATTACATTTTTAGCAATAAGACGAGTAACTATACCTACTAAAGAATGGTTAATGTAATGATGTAGGTATAACTGGAGAAAAATTTTGAAATTCACTACACAAGTAGGTATGATCTTTCATCTGCGCGGTATTAATCATTTTGTTTTCTCTGAGTTTAGCAAAATTTATATTTATAATTATAACTTTACAATGAAGAAAAAATTTATATTACCAAAACACGATTTACCCCTACAAAAAATTAGGTCTAAATTTAGCACGGTTTTTCGTTTAAAATTATGTCTTAACTGATAACGATAATTTATATTAAAATTTCGGAATGAAACAAACCGCTCTTTATTTTTGAATGATTGTTTACGAAGAAAGATTTCTGGTTTTCATAAGGATGTTAGATCTTATCAAAAATAATTTCGAAAAATGATCGAAAATGAAGACTACGAGTAGGACCGTTCGATAACCAAAATTACTTCAATTTATTAAATCTAATTCAACACTAAATACTACCTGTATTAAATAAGACGATTTGGTAGGTACTTATATAAAATTTATCTGAGTAGATACTTCTAAAATAATCTTAGTTTTTTAGAGTCCTTCTAAATTTTTTAAAAAGATTATTGTTTCATTAATACAGAAATGTAACAATAAATTCAGACCAAGTAATATTTTCCAAAAATGTGTGAAATAATCATTATTCCAGAGATATAGTTGAAATTACCGTTTTTTCGTTTAATAATTGTCAACCGATATGGCATAAGAATTTCGAACAAAGTAAATGTCAAATAATTAGTATTTAGTTGAAAATTTGTTATTCTGTTTTTCTCAACTTTGTATTTTTTTTACATTGACGAAACAATAATTTTTCCAAAATCTTTATTTCTGGTGGAACTGAAAGTGTGTCCATAAATATAATCTTTTCGATTCTTGAATTGAATTTGTGTCTTAGTTTGGAAATAATTTTAGGAATGAGTAAATAGTACCCTGTAGATAATGATGATAAACTGTTTTAGTTAAAATTGGTATTTTAAAAAATAGTTACAACAAAAAATTATTAAGTTCAACTAAATTATAGCAAAAATATTAGTTACTGTCCATATAAAAATATTAAAATTGATTTTGATTTTGTTGTGTCTTGTGTTTCGTTAAATACTAATATTATACAAAGTGAGTGAAATTAGTGTATTAACTATAAAGAGAATACTTATTTAGTAATTTTACAAGCTTAAATTAATTTTGTCAATAAAAAAAATTGAATAAAGAATTTTCATCTATTTCGTTGTTTTGATAAAATTTTATTAAAACTGATTTGAAAATTTCGTTTCTCTGCTGCAACAAAATTTTTCTCAGGTTTTTATTCCCTGCGGGTAAGCTAGGGAAGTATTGTAAGTGAATCCATAGGGCGACAGGCCACTTTCATGTGTTCAATGTTTCATGACCCCTAGAGTGCTAAAAAATTGGTTCCCTATTTCCTGCCTGTTTGTCTGCCTGTCCGGATTTTTATTAGACAGATAATCTCAAAACTACCGGACCGATTTTTCTTAAATTTTAGATGTTTACTAGGTATATCGTACAGATGGAATGTTAACCAAAATTTGACTAATCATCTGCACCAACAATAAGATGGCATCATCCCTAAAATTTAAATTGGTAAATGTTAAAATTTTATAAAATACCATATTCGAGCGTGTGCGATTTATGAATTCGTGTTGAGTTTTGATCCTAGAAATCCAAATTTTTGGGAAAAAATTCAAATTTTATAAGTAACATTTTACGATTTAACTTTGAAATTGCAAAACCGAGTGCTGTGAAATTTTGCAAACGTTTTAAGGAAGCAATTTTCATCAAAATTTATCCGTTTATGGCCCCAAAAAACAATGCCGTCATCTTATAAAATGTCCGAATAAATGAATGTTCCCCAAATTCACGAGTGTTTACGCTAAACATCCAGTTTTTTGGGGGAAAAAAACTGAGCGTGCTTAATGAATTAATTAGTCTTATTAATAGATACAAATGCCGCTGCTGATCATGCTAATAGTTCAATTCTTTCAAAGTGCAAACATAAACAGTCGAAGTTAAGCATGAATTGAGAAATTGAAAATGTTGTCCGGTAAAGTCGAAAATATATCTGTACGATTTTTAAAGTTTTGTAAGCTGAAAACAGCAGTGAACCGCGTTCCAAAATTTCCATACATAACTGAAATATTGTTTTTTTTTAAATACGTGATGCAAAAATTTCAACAAAATTTAAAAAATATATGATAATAAGACAAGTTAGATTTAAAATTTCATAACAGTAAGTGCGTTAATAATAGACATATTAAATTCTGAAAATATATTGACAACACCATTTGAGCCCAAACGTGGCGACTCCTCTCAAGTAAAACTTATTTGAAGTTTGTAGTATAATATATTTTTTTATTTGGTGAAATAATAATGTATGATTCCTATAGGAGTTTTAGTACAAAAAAATGTAAAACGAATTTTTGAAATTGTGGTAAAATATAAATATTGATTCAATATTTTAGTTCTAAATACGTAATGATATTATCGCAAAATTTATGAAATAAATGTTTGCTTAAAATGTGCCTCCAAAAGCCACACTGTTTGCGCGTTAGTAATATATTTTTATTTTTTAGAATTATTTATAGAGCACTTTTGAAAAATTAATAAAATAAATTAATTTTATTGATTGAATAAAAATGGTTTATCTAATTTTGTCAAAATTATTGGAACACAGAATTGTTTTTTAATTTAACAGAAAAAATTGAAGAATTAACTTTTATAATTTATCAGAAAAAAAAAACGGACCTGATTATTATGTTTCCAGGATGAGAGAACTTTTGCCTAAATAACTTGAGATCAATTTTGTAAAACAGCATGACAGGAATTACACCATTATTTAAATCTGATTTAGCAATTAATTCAATGATGGGACTATAGGTAGCATCTATTTGTAGAAATTTTTGTCAATAAGAGTCACCTTGCTAAAGTAAGAGTAATACAGAATTAGAGAAAATTAAAAAATATTGTCAAGGATTTGAACCATATTAACTTTATACAGGGTTTCATCAAAATGTTCGTATACTTAGGAAATAAAAACTATATTTACAAGTAATTTTTGTATTACTTTTTGCCTTCCAGCCTAAGAAATCCGTAAATGAAGAATCTTTAATTATCGAACAAATGCTTTCACCGTTTTCCCTCTTTTTACTCTTTGCTGGTTTTTACATTATTTGTGCCAGAAATAAAAAGAAAATGCCTATGCTCTACACATTCCACAATGACTGTAAAACACCCCCTTCATAGCTTTTGCATGACCTTTCCTCTTGCATTAACCAAAGAAGATGACGTTGAAGTATTGCCCCCAGATACTACGAGACCGGCTCCATCAAGCCCCGCGCCATCGGCGGCTCCAAGCCTCGGGTAGCTACCCAGCCCGTGGTCAACAAAATCGCCGAGTTCAAAAGAGAATGCCCTTCGATATTCGCTTGGGAAATCCGGGACCGACTGCTTTCAGAAGGAGTGTGTAACAACGACAACATTCCTAGCGTGAGTAGCTTGCCGATGACTAGTTAATAAGTCGTTAAACACACGGTTCGCCCTGGAGGCAAACACTCGTTGGCTGTATCGCGCTGCCCCGCGCTGTGTACTATGTCGTATGTCAATGCTGTGCAAACTCTATTAGTGACAAGATCTCGCTTTATTTACCCAACGTTGACTGAATCTCAGGTAGAGCTCACTGACAATAGTCACAATATCATCGATCGTATTCTTGCTTGCCTCGTGTACAACACTACTGAACAGGTCTGATTACTTATGTGAAAAAAATGTCTGCAAAGTTATTTGCACTTGTATTCCTTGCTGCAATCGAGATTACTACATATGTTTACACCTAAAAGTCATTCTTCCTCTGTGACTTTTTTTTGTGACTATTTGTGATAAATTGAGAACACCTGTAAGTAGGTAAAATATTGAAAGACGAATTTATACTATTATTAATATATTAATGCAAAAATAAAGCTAAACTCAGAACTGCAACATTCAGTTCGTACATACTTCCTTTAAGGTATTATCTGAGAATTAAGTACAAGTACCTACAATTGTCAGATAAAATGTAGAAAAAATGAGCTTAGCTTAGTTTTTTGAAATATGTACGATGCTTTGACCATAAGAAAACCAATTTTACTTAAAAATTAAGTTATTTCTGAGCTTTATTAAGTTATGTTTATAAATAAAAGGAAATAAGAAAATTCTTAGGTGACACTTTCTGTACATTTGAATTCTAATATTTTGTCTAAATTTCCCATAATTCTATTATTATTTATTATTTCTAGATTTTATGTGTAGGGTACGCAACCAATAATACAATAACATCGGATTCTTTAATAGTTATTATCACTAATATCACTATTTTTTTAAGCAAAACATAAACAACTCAGTGAAAAGCTCAGACTGCGTTTCGACATCCTTAAGCTCTCTTCAGTACAGCAGTGGTTGTCTAATATTCCAAAGTGTTTACTATAATATTTACTACAGTAAATATCTACCTACTAGGTGTATCTCTTCATTCAACTAATTTAATTATTTACATATTTATAAATATTATGTAATTTAGTGATCTATCAAAATCCGTTTAAAAAAATATACGTTACACTTTAAAAATATTTACAGATGATGCTGAGAAATGGCGCACCAATTCAATGCTACATTATTTAGTTCGCAAGTCTAAGTTCAGAAAAAAATCATTAAAACATTCCTTACGTCAATTTGTGGTTCACTTCCAGAAATAAAATATCGATTTAGACCGATAAATAAAAAACTCTAAAAATTAGCCTCCCTTGTCAAATTCATCCTGAACAATTTTTAAGTTGGATACTACGTCCAAACTTATTTTGCATAATGGAAATCTATTTGATTTCATGTATCCAAAACTAAGTGGTGATTTAAAATATGGTGAAATATTGAAAATAAAAGTTAAACTTTCAAGGGCTATATTTTCTACGTTTGGGCCCAAGAATTTTTTAAATTATTTTTTCTCTGTTTTATAAATAGTCCTTAACCACGTGTCATAGAGCTGGTATGCCATTTTTCAGCACCCTGTATATAGTTTTGAGCCGCGTCGCCGAAACCATACGTGCGTTATATTTCCAATGTATTAAATTAAGCTTCCCGTTCAAGCTAAAAATAATGGCGTTAACAAAATTTCAATGTTATCCGTTCTCAAGATGTAAATCCCTAGAAATTTACTCTGTGCACAGACTAATTCAAAACTAGAGCACTAAGTTACCAGTTATTATTAACTTGATTTTAATTTGAAGCTGACTAACGGAAATAAAATATCGATTGGGGTAGATAAATTAAAAGTGGCGAAAAATTACCAACTGTTCATCATGAACAATTTTTATTTTTTTTTTATGTTATAAAATAGAGAAAACTATGAATAGAGATAATACTTCCAAAATTATTTTTATATTGAAAGTTCTACAGTTTCTACATTTGTATACAAGGTTTTTTAAAATTGTTTTTCCTTGCTCAATAGTCAGTCCTTAATAACGTGCCATAGGGTGGGTGCATCATTCTTGAATCACCCTGTATTATTCATATTTCTCTATTAATTTACAGTTACAAATGTTACATTTTCGATCACCAAAATCTAATGACATTAAATAAAACAGAATTTGTTTTTTTAAAGACCGTTTCATTACATTTGGTCGTCATTTACTATCTCAAAGTATGACTGCATGAGAAAAAAAATGTCTACGGTTATTTGGAAAGAACTTCCCTCACCCATAAAGTATAGTCCGACAAATTCTGCTTCTTTAAAAAATTATATATTTTTTTTCTGCAAGGTAAAAACCAGTGCCAGTGGTGTAATTAACACCTCCCTAGCTTCCATAAGTGTGGACAATGTGAAATATATTTAAAACAGATAACTAACGAAAAAAAAAAGTTAATATTTCCAATTTATCAGTGCCTGCTTAACTTCGACTGTTTATGTTTGTTTATGCTTCTAAAGAATGCGACTATTAGCACGTTCAACTCACAAATGTCAGCGGTTAAAAGAAAATGAAATTTGATTGATTTTGTCTCCTCAAGGCAGACGAGAGGATTGATTAATTAATTAACCGGACTCAGCTCTCGTCCCATAAACACTCATAACTTTGAACAAAACTGTAAGATAGCACATTTTGTTTAAGAATTACCACGCTTCCTATAACCCTAAAATATTTACAAGGTTTCACAGCATTTGGTTTTTGCAGTTGAAAGTTGAGTTGTAAAATATTGTTATATATTTTAACTTGTTTCTTAGAAATCTGAATAAGTACCAAGGGTAAAACTCAGCACGGATGCATAAATCACACATGCAGGAGCATATTATTTTATAAAATTAAAAAATATTATTCCACAGAATTGACGTCATCATTTCTTGGAGAGGCCATAATTAAATAAATTTTGATTAACCATTTATCATGTTTCCTATAAACTTTAAGCATTTGCAAAATTTCAGATAATTCGGTTTTGCAATTTCAAAGTTGAATCATAAAATACAATTTTGAATTTTTCCCCAAAAATCTGGATGTATAGGGTAGAAAATAGGGATTCTTAAATCACACATGCAGATATGCGGGAGTATCTTATTTTATAAAATATAAATACTGTTTATTAAATTTTGGAGACGATGTTATCCTATTATTGGTGGGGATGATTAGATTGTATGTAATCTTTTTACCATCTACACGATATTCCTAACACATATACAAAATTTGACAACAATCCGTCCAGTAATTTCGGAGATTATCTGACTCATAAGAAATTCGGACTGACGGCAGGCAAACAAATAGTCAGACAGACGGAAACGGGACCTATTTTGTCGTACTCTAAGGATCATGAAACGTCGACAAAACAAAAATAGCCAGTCGTCCAATGGACTCGATTACAATAATTGTTTAACTTACGCTCAGGAAGTAAAAATAAGTCCAAATTTATGTAGACAGAACTTCCCTCGTCTCTGAAGAACAATCAAAACAAATCTGGTGTCTTAGGTGGCCATAAAACTTTTTTTTTGTGAATTTTAGTTTCTGTTGGCCTCTATAAGTTATTCATTAATTCTTGAGACAACATATATATTTCTAAAAAACATGAACGTATGAAAAACTACATGTACAGAAAAGCAAGCCATTTGATTATTTCAAGTGAAACTGACTTCGCAAAATTTTGAGATGACTTCATCAATTTTTTGGAAGGGACGAACTGATAAATTCTGATTAACGATTCAAAATAAACTTAAAGTTGTGTGGTATCTAATAAGAGACCTAGATCACTAAACCTAGACGTAGAAGTATATCATTGTCTACATTTTGGGTGGGATTATTTTGCAAAATTTTGAAATAACATTATCGCATTTTTGGTGGGGATTAACATAATAGTTCAGGAGATTACTTGCACAGTGAAACTGCCAACAGACAGACCGATGACAGACAGACGACAGAAGGACAAAACTGGGAGACCTACTTTTTCATACTTCAGGAGCTGTGAAACGGCGGACATTTTAAAGACCGTTTAGGAATATGCGAATCATGCCACTGTGGGAGATTCCTAAGGTTCATGCACTTTTTGATATTTAAAAACTCGTTAAATAACTTTTTAATAACTCTTAATCATACCTGAAAGCCAGTTATCCATTATTGTAATAAAACAAACTGATATTAAGTTTATTTTTAAAACACGTGAGCCTTCAAAACTCTGTCCTGTCGACCATTCTCAGGTCGGGATAATTAGTTTGATGATGATCCCTTGCCGAAACTAGCCACTGTTTAAAAAAATAAGGAGTATGGGTTTACAGCAGTTTATTTAAGGTTAATAATAATTTTGTAAATGAAAAATTTTTACTTGTTTAAACGCTTAACACTCTTATAACATAACTTCTCTTGAGCTTCCTAAAACTTAACACTCTTTGAACATACGCACAGTTGGGTTAATGCTTAAAAATTTAAACATACCGCTCGTGTAAAAGAGTTTGACTTTGGTGTGTTTTTTGTCAGATTGCCATTCCATTGTCACACGTCAATACTCTGCAAACTCTATTAGTGACAAGATCTCGCTCTATTTACCCAACGTTGACAGAATCTCAGGTAGAGTTCACTCACAATACCGTGGACCCTATTCATACTCGCATACAAATTCATCAAAACGATACTCGAAACAGTAATAGGTTGGTTTCATGCACGCATTGTACTGCGACAAATGTCCTTGTCGTCACTTTAAGGAGATTTATGTTGTGTACAGAAAGGCACTTTTGTCGCGAAAATTGCGTTCCGCACTCTCAAAGGGACCGATTCGAGGAGAGAATAAAGGCTAAAGGAACGATTCGGTCGGCTCTTGAACGGACCAAACGAATGAAAAAATACACGGTCAATAAAATTGCTACAAACGTGGAACATAGAAGCGATTTTTCCTAAGACTTGACAGATACAAAATATGTGGGTTTGTTTTTTGTTTTTGACGTGACAGGTGTTGAATTTAATCGGAATTGTGCGTTTTATCTATTA